GGGAGCCCCCAGGCCTCACCTGGCCGTGCCGGGGAGCCCCCAGGCCTCACCTGGCCGTGCCGGGGAGCCCCCAGGCCTCACCCCGCTCCCTGGCTTTAAGCACCTCCTCCTCACCCCGTACCTGCATTTCCCTGGAGACGTGGCTGGGAACAGCTCTGCTTTCTCAGCAACGGCGATGCCACCTTGCTCAGCAGCCGTGCTGAGCCTCGCACGGCTCCTTCCCTGACTTCCCTGTTTCTTTCAACAACCCTCCCACCACGAGGCTCCGGTTGGGATGCCTGTTCCCCATGGGAAGCCGAGGGCAGCGCCCAAGAAGAGCTGAGCCTGCCAGGGTGTGACTTCCCGGGTGGCTTGTTTGTGCTGCAGGGTCTTTGTCATTTGGGAAAGCTCTTGGTTCCCATCCTGCTTGTGTGCATTTCCTGTTCCCCGTGTGGTGGTGAATCAGGAAGGTGATGCAGATGGACAATACATAAACGTTTGGCCGTGGGAGAGGCAGATCCTGCTCCCTGGGAGGCTGTGGGTGCTTCTGCCCGTGCACCCTTTGGGTGGAAGCTTGGGGTTAAATCACACCATCCACTCTTCAGGCCGTAAAGCAGGAACACAGCTATTGCAGTTAGTTTTCTCTGGACAGAATAAACCTTTCCTTGAAGCACCCACCCAACCTGATTGTGTTTCCTTCTCATTGCCCCCCCCAGCGTGTACTGGCCTCTCTTCGTCTTGATATTCTACTTCATCTGCCCCATTCCCCACTTCATTGCCAAGAGAGTAAGTGATGACAGTGATGCAGCCAGCAGTGCCTGCAGGGAGTTGGCCTATTTCTTCACGACTGGAATTGTGGTTTCTGCCTTTGGGTTTCCCATCATCCTGGCACGAGTCGAAGCGGTGAGTTCTGCTTCCTCGCTTTTCCTGGCAGCCACTGAGGAGATAGTTCAGCTCTGAGTGCAGTGTTGCTGCTTGCAGGTCCTGTCTTCAGTTTAACTCTAGTGGTGGTGCTAGATTCTGGTGAAAATAATCACTCTGCTGAAGTTTTCTCTGCTTTTTTTTGACCTGAACAAAGGACTTGCCTGATTAGGGAGTTTTTAGCTGAGTTTTTCTTCCACAGATTTTGGTCCAATGCAAGAGATCTCCTCCTGCATTTCCTGCCTCTCAGTCTCACAAACTTTTGCACTGCTTCTTGTGCCACCTTCTTTATGTTTGCCTTAGAATGGCTGCTTTCTCCATTTAGGATGCTGGAAATGTGGTGACTAGGGTGCAAAAGATAACAGGCCAAACTCTCAGAGCTGCCCTTCTGGTTTTCAATGGATTTCCCAAGCTCATGCTTTGTCCTCTTAAAGTCTGAGGAAATTTTGCTAGCTTCTTTTCTTTCTGCACTGCTCTTCAGTGGTGAGATTTTGTCACCCTTCTTTTGCAAGGCAAAGTTCTTTTGTCCCATCTCCTAAACTACCCAGTGACATTTTTCTGTGTTGCACGGGTTTTCCCCTCCAGCCTTGCAGTTCTGCTTGAAACTTCTGTGTTCAGTTTTAATTTCTTTGCAACACACAGTTTCCCTGACACTGCATATTTTTGGTTTTAAGTTGTGGACCTGACATCAGGCAGGACCAGAAGTGACCACGAGGGGGAACTCCCACCCACAGCTACATCTTTTAAGAGGAAATGTCACTTAAATTTGAGTAAATTCAGCTGGGCAGATGGTTAAAAAGAAAGCTAATTGCCTTTAAGACCATGTACTGGTTTCCATGCTTGTCACTTATTTATTTGAAAGGTTATGGTGGGGTTTTTTTAGCAATTAAAGAGGAGCACTAGTTATTCTGTGACTTAAATATGTTTTAGTGTCTTGCATAGCAAAGTAATGATTTTGTTCCTAAACATTATTAGCCTATTGAAGGCTTGTATTAGTAATAGCAGTGGTTTCTAATGTAATAATTAGTCATGTAAATGGAACTGTTTGTTGTTTGTCTTTTTTCTTTATGCTTTTAGCACCTTTTTGTAGTATTTTGTGTAGTTTATCTAATATGTATAAATAACTGACCTGACCCTGTCTTCTAAGACCTGCTGTGATTGTTTCCTTTCCTTGCATTTCAGATCAAATGGGGAGCCTGTGGCCTGGTGCTGGCTGGCAATGCAGTCATTTTCCTTACTATTTTAGGCTTTTTTCTTGTGTTTGGTAGAGGAGATGACTTCAGCTGGGAACAGTGGTGATGTTGTACAGCAGGTACCACCATACGTGCTCTCTGTGTGTGTATGTACCAGACCACAGGGGGGTGTGCACCCCGATGGGGGGTGTTTGTGCATCTGCATGGAGTTCTACATTAGCAGTTCATAATGTGCTTTTTAAAATGCCTCCAGCCAAAGGGAAAGGCCCCTGGGAAGCTGCCCTCGTGTTCCTTGAGAGCTGGGATCCCCTCTGCAGATTTGTACCCCAGTAAGTTTACAGCCCAGAAGTGGTTGTGCTCATTTGTTCACTCTCTGTGCATTAACTTTGGTTTGAATCCCAGCAGTGTCACTGGGGCAGGTGGTGCTGCTCAGCCTGCCTGCTGGGGTTTTTAACCAGCTAATCCAAATAAGCCAAGACAAAGATTATCCTCATGATTATCCAACTTGATCAATCTTTCTGCTTTGATGAGGGATGAATGACCCCTTGCCTTTCACTTGAGTAATTGTAATTTCATTAGTTTTTCTTGATAGCATGAAAAACAACTCTTATTATGCCAACTCTTGTTAATGAAAGAAAAAGAAAAGAGCCCTGGTTAAAAATCCTTCCCTCTACTTACAATGATCAGTTAGAAAATTGTTCCTTCCCCCAGAGATCCTCAGTCTTTGTCCCTGTTCTGCTTTAAAAATGTGGATATACTTGGGGAATAATATATGTTAATGTCTCTTTAATGCTTTGAGCTGACATGATTTCTCTTAGGAAGGCTCACAGGAGAGGAGACTGCTCAGGACACTTCATCACAATGTAGTGTTGAACTCTGTATTCTTATGTATGAAATGTCTGTATTGCAAAGAAGTGAGTGTTCTGGGTAGGACTTCTTATCTCCTCAGATCTCATTGCTTTTAAAACATACTTACTCAACTACTGTTCTTTTTGTCTGTAAGAAAAGATGGCTGTTACTGTTTGGACTTCTGCAAATTGTGGAGGGGTGTGGTTTTGTAAAATCCATGCTGGTGCAACCCTAACTCTAGAGGACATTTCAGTGATCTGCAGAGGGGTGAAGGAAGAGACACCTTGGATTATTCTTGCACAGACAAATGGACCTAAAGAGGTTTCTGCTCTGAAGTAAGAAGCTGAATTCCTGCATGTAGGGGGTGTTTTACTAGTTCTTTAGCAGATGGGAAAGGAGTGTTTGGTTGTGTGAGTTGGTTCATGTCTGACAGCAACACCAATACCCAGTTTAAGTGCCTGATCCTGGAGGTGCCTGATACCATTGCTCACAGTTCTCTTCCACTCCTGTTAAATACTCTTCTGCTTGCAGGGTTTAAGTTCTCCAGTATTTTTATTCCATAGACTTTACCAAAGGCTGCAAGAGAAGTCTATTCAAGAATTGCTGAGAAGGAATTTTCCTTAGAGAATCACTATTTGTAGACTCTGTTCTAGGTCTGTCAGATAGTGTGGCCCCATTACTGCTTGTGACAGACTGGGATGCAGACAGCAAACATATGACAATCTGTCATGAGGAGGAGGACTAGAAAGTACAGTCTTGGAGAGGGGTTTCTCCTTTGACAAATTATTCTGCTGTACTGTATTTCCTTGGGTATTGCTGTGGTTGGTGGTAAATGTTGACTGGAGAAAGTCAGTGCTTTTTTTGTTTTGTTCCCCACTTTTGAAGCAGCTCCATGCACTAATCCTGAATGTGAACTCCTTGCAGTTTTCACCGTGGACTTGTATTTTAAGATGCTTAACTTGAAAAATTGTGTTTAACAGTGTTTTAAATCATGGAAATCTTCCTTAACCTCTTTCAAAGTAAATTTGCTTGAATGAGTCGTCGGTATCAAAGAGGGTAAAAAAAAAAAAGTTCAGTGCTTTTTTTTTTTTTTTAATCAAGAGCTTGACTCATTCACACAGACCTGGTGCTTTGATGGCCAGTTCTGGGCCATTCTGTCACTCTCCACCAGGAGCAATTGACTGTGGTTTCTCTGAAATTGTTTTCCTGTATGGAAGTGAATACTGTGTATCCAAAGTGCCTTAATTTCCACGCTGCTGATTTAGTGAGTGCATTTTCATGGCAATAGCCCTGTGTTTCATCATCAGCTGAAAATCTGTTACTGCATTTTATAAAGCTTCCTTGTCAACTAATCGTGTTTTCTGCCATTCAGGATGCAGTGCAGCTTTTGTAACTTTTGTAAACACTATTTTTATTTTCTGTGATTGCCAGGTTCTTGAGATGAAGCATTAAAACATGAAATTTAAAACATACTTTTCTTTCTGAATTGTCTAATAAAACTGACTTGTTTTAATTGTCATAATAATAAACATACCTTATGCTTAAGTCTTTGTCTGTCTTAAATTTCAAGAGGTGTTACCAGTCCCTTGTGAGAGGGAAAATGAGACACATCCAGTGGTGCTTTCATAATGGTATAAATAGTGTACTGATCAATTTTCAGAAGCCATGGTGGAATGATGTTCTGGCATGCACTGGAATGTATTATAGAGGCTGTATTCACATGTGTAGCTAAATTATCATCACTTACCTCCTGTGTATTTGGCAGGGCTTTGTAAAAGGCATTCCAGACAAGTTGGTGGTTCATGGCTCTTCTTGCCTCAAAGTACTCCAGAGCAAGACACATCTCAGTCAGCACTGATGGGCAGGGATGCAGAGGCCATCAAAGCTCCCTTTCTTTTTGTTCTAGGTCAGTGGTCCTTTAGATAAGTTGGTGAGTAAATTTAGTGGGTGATCTTGATCCCACCAGTGCTTGTGAAAATGAAGCCTGCTCAGTTACTTAGTTTGTGGGAGCACCCACTGTAAGAGGGTGGCTGTGGGGTCTGTGTTGTAACTGCTGCTGCTCCCTGTGTGCAGCTCTGAGAGGAGCACCTGAGCTTGGGGAAGGTGAGTGTGCTTGCCCTTGGGATCAGCTGGCTGCTGGCTGTGCCCTGGTTGGCAAACCCAGTGTTCTGTAGTCAGTTCAGGCCTTTAAGCAAGGCACTTTAAGCAAAAGCACTTCCTAACTAGTTAGGTAATGTTTTAAAAATTTAAACCAGTCTTTAATCCCATAAAGTGAACATAAGCTCATAAATACCCAGGAGTTAACCAATTTGTCCTTGGAAGCCACATGGAGATTTCTTATATTGTTAAACTGAAAAGTATGTAAAGCTCTAAAATGCTCTCTAACCCTGATCTGAATTGTTAGCACAGCAGGAGTTTTAAGATACTGCATGATTTACTCTGCAGGGTCTGTTCCTGGTGCATGAGGAGGGATGAAAAGACTATTTCATGAAGCTGGATGCACAGCAGCTGCTAATGACTAATTGATTTGTGTAAGTGGCCCCTGCAATATGTGACCAGTATGTACTAGATGGCTTCACAGGGAAGTGTCTCTTGATGAAACATGTAAGAAAGCATTGATTGGTCATTACATTTTAAAGATCAGCTGGACACTCATAGAGAAACATTTTCTGCCTTAGCCTGTTCCTGTCTTTACCTCTTGTTTCATCATTTTGATTTTGCTCTTTGTGTTGAGGTTTCAGCTGTGTGGATTATTTAAAAACTGGTTACAGTTGGTTATGCCCCACGACTAGGACTTCAGCTGGAGGTCCTTAGTTTATTTTTTTGGAAGTACTTCCTGTAGATGAGTTCTACATGGTAACGAATGTTGTGGATCCTGCTTCTTTCTGATGGCTCATTTGAAAGGAACTGGTTGGTTGGTCACCCTTCTGTGAGGGTGATCATCCCTTGTCCACCTGAGCAGATGGCTTTTGTCCTGCTGTCCTCAACACCTGGGGGTTTTCACAGCCACCTGTGAGGCAGATACTGATGGAGAGAGGGCAGGAGTTATAAAAAACCCACATTTTCCCCCAAAAAAATTCTTAGGTGATAGGAAGATGACTGGTTTCAAAATAAGGCTAAACCTATGGCTTTGTTTAATCAGGTAAGTTATAATGAACATAATTGTGCAGAATTACATGTAGTATAGTCTTGCTTTAGTTTCTTTGCATCTAAGGGAAGACATCCTGTGAAACATGTAGTAGCATTGCTGCTTACAGTGAAGAGTTTCAAAGAGGTAGTTACAGCAGGTCCAGCTGAAACCCTGACGTGTTCTCTCTTCCTGGCATCCAGGGGTGGAAGTTGCCTGTGTTTTATTATTGTATTTTTCATGGCATGTTTTTCCTGGGGAATGCTTATAAAATTAACTGCTTGGTTTTGTGGAGATTAAAACACCAACACAACACACACAACCCTCCCAAAAGCATAGTTCAGGTTATATATAGTTCAGTGGAAAGCCTTAAATGGAAAAGAGTTCTGAGTCTGGAAGAGAGCTGGAGGCTAAAGGGGGTGTTGATGTCCCCCTGTAGGTCCAGAAGTCAGCTGAGACTGTCCATGTCTGTGAATTTTGTTTCTATCACCTGCTTTGAGATTCATTTTCCAGTGCACTGGCTAAGTTGCTTTCACTTTCTAGGTCAGGATGAATAGAAGACAGATGCTGCTTGGCTGGGTCTGTTTGCTTGAGGATTTGGAGAGAGGTTAAAGGGTGTTTGTGGTGCTTTACAAAGCGTGTGCTTGGAACAAGAGGGTTGATCCTGACATTTATATGTTTTGCTTACCCTTTGTTGTGACTGTTTGATCTGGGCCTGTGTGATTCTGTTACTCATGTAACTCCTGCCTATGACTGGTATTTCTGAATACAACCAGAGCCTTTGTTACCAGCCTTCCATGCTTCACACAGCAGAAAACCAAAAGCTGCAAGAGCTGTAGCTTCCTGGCTACCCATCAAGTCCTCCCTTTTTTGAAGCTGGTGGGAATTAGCTGTGGGGGTCCGTGGGATGGGGAAGGAGAGATGAAAGAGGCTTCATTCCATTAGCTGCTGAATCCCTTGGTGTCTGTGGGTAATCCCAGTGTGTCCCTGAGTCACGTCGGTGCGATCCCGTGCCCAGCTTGGCTGAGCCTGTCTCTGCTGGCTGCCCTGCACAGGAGGCGGGGGTGGTGTTGGCTGCAGAAACCCGTGTGCCTGTGTTTCCACCACTTCACTCCAGGAGAGGGTTTAAC